GAAAACAGAAACGTATGTTGTGTATGGAGAATGCTTAAAAAAGCAAGTCATTAAGCATGTATGTGTTTCAATTTAAAGTTAATATTTGTTTAGTTAGATTTAATCTATGGTTTTATTAGTTCCTGCTTTTGTCAAGTCTGGCGTAAAATAAAACACCCCTAAGTAAGTAAAAGTAACGAATTTGAAACTTTTTAATATTGTTGTTTGTTATCATGATGCTTAAGAATAAATCTGCCAATTTATTAATTCGCAATGCTGTCATTTAAAAAAATATGTAGGTATATCCTGTATCTTTTTGAATAATATATTTATAAAGGTAGAATTTTTTTAACAATTTTGTAGGATTTCTGTTTGGAAAAAAATTCTTAGGTACAAGTTTTTGATTTCAAACTCCCAGAACATGCATAATTTGTATTGTCTATGGTTAATTTTGATTTTTCCGTAAATTTTAATAATTTTTGGGCGGTTTTCGTTCATTTGTCATTTATTAAAAGTAATCGTTTAGGTTAGTTAACATGTTGAAAGCTTTTACTTTTAAATTAATAGCCAAAATTTTTTATCGACGCTTTAGAATTTTTAGAATTTTCGAGAAATTTCTACCTATTATAACATTCATTTGAAAACAAAATAACAAATGAACGAAAACTCACCAAAATTTATCAAAAAAGTTTCAGTCCAAACTATTCAGAAAAATTTAATTGCAAAATAACCATAGAAAACAAAAATGATGTGGCGCATATTCTAAGGCAAATAAATCAAGAAAAAACTTATCATGTATAAAAATGAAATAGTCAAAATTCTACTATTTGAATTAGTACCAGCATTTTTTACTAATAAAATAGTCGTTTTCACTTTTAAATAGTTATTTTTTACTATGTAAATAGTTAAAGTTTGACTAATTTAAGATTAGTCACCATATTTGACTATTTCTGACAGTTAAAAGTAACTAATTTCTTTAATCGTTTACGGCCAACAACAAAGTATTATTTGAATTAAATGCATATACCTCTCCATGGTTAAATGTCCCATAAAACAAATAAAGATGCAACAAGTTTAGCTCAAAACAGATAATATATTAAACTTTAAAATATTATGAACAATATTTATTGAGAAATAAAATTAATTTTTATAAGAGCGGCTGACAGCCGAATGCGTTATGAGGTTAGCTTGTCAAACTTGTCAAGTGGCAGACCTGAGTTCAATCCCAGGCTGGGTCAAAACTTTTTTTAAATTTAAATTTACTAATTTGACTATTTCATTCAGTGGAATTTGACTAATTATTAGTGACTGCTTTTTCGCTATGACAATTAGTCAAATATGACTTATAATTAGTTATTTTTGACTAATTCATTTTTAAGAGAGTACCTTTTCTGAGAAATTTAACCCCACCCGTGGACATAGTGTATAAAAAGTGAAAAAATATTTTTATGGAATTTTACAAATTAGACTTGTATTTCCGTTATGAAACCTTACATATAAATGGCACGTGCACCTAGTTACGCAAAGCCTAAAAATCCGGCCCTGGATCCCTTTAAAATCTCGATCGGTGGCCGTATTTATACGTGCCAGATCGACAATAGGGCAAACAATACGTCTGTAAAACGAGGAAAACTACCGGTCCGTAGTGAAGTTGCACGCGAACAACTCCCACTTCAGAATGTTATATTTTTGTAGTGGTACAAGTCAAACTCACCCCCTGTATAAAGTTAGTTGGTCGAGGGGGCGAACGCCAACCAGACACCTGTTAGGCAAATCGTGATTTAAATGTCCGATTTTTACGGTTATCAGTCTGATCGGTCTAGATTTAGCACGATTATTTAGCTAATGTATTTATAATAAAACTTTAATAGAATAACGAAATCTCAAAAAAAAACAAAATTTAAAAATAACCAAATAAATTTGGAGACTTCAACATTAGAATAAACCGGAAACTTTTATGATATCATAAAGATAGACTATAGTCACTCAGTAAGTCAATCAATTGAAGAAATGATGTTAATATTGTTACATTAAAGAATAGTTATTATATCATAAGATATATCGTATACATAAAACGCAGGTACTTACAATTATTATAGCAATTACTAAAAGGATAATGTGAGGTTAGATAGCTCAAATCTGTCAGCAGTTATTAAATTTTTATAGACGACGATGTAAAAAACTTTACCTTAATTGGTCCAAATTATTTTTACAGCCTATAGGAAATAATCAAATTTTTTTACATCGTCGTCTATATATATATATAGTGAGCGTTGACAATAAATAAGGCTTACATTATAGAACTTAAAGATAAATACTGTTTATTTTATGTTGGTAGGTATTCCATATTTAAAATAAAAATTGTCATATATATATATACATATAGGAGGTGCATTCCAAAACTTGGCTTATATTAGGTGTTTTCGAGCAAAAACCTTACACGTGAGTACTAACGCATATCAGGCACAAAACTTTAAACGAAATATAAAGTCATAAGTAATACATTTATATACCTTTATTAAAAGGTATAGCTCCAGTTTAAAATAATTTAAAATTACATACGTATATGCCGAGTTCTGCATGATATTACCAATAGATAAGGCATGTTTTGGAACGATAGTCAATTTGTAAATGAATTTTAAATGGAATAAGGTTAGTTTTAGAATATTATTAAGAATGGAAGATTTTTATTTTAAAACTATAATTGAGGAGGTCCATTTCAAAACTCATATATGAATTTTCAGAATATAGGGAGATACATGTTAAATTTACAGACACCACTAACTCATTTGTGGATAAGCCGGGTTTTGGAATGGACCTCTTCAATTATAGTTTTAAAATAAAAATCTTCCATTCTTGCAAGAACCATTTTGGTAAACTTGGTATCTTCAGAGAAAGCGGGTAAGACGCATCTTTCTTTATACATAACTTCATTTAATTAACATGCGCATTCTATTTTTTCCCTCTCGTTGTGGTTTTAATTTTCATCACTTGCGTCGGGCTTTTTGCCTTAACTTTTTTAGAATTGTTTTTTGTTAAAGTTGATGTTTTTAAAGGGTCATATCGTAAGGGTTCATAGGTTCCTCCAAACAAATTTATTCTGCAAGCCTTGCAGTGCAAGGTTCATGAATATTCTGTACCTTTCATTGGTTTGTATTTTTCTATCTAGCTCCACCAAACTGCTGTGGAAAGCCGTGTATTGGGTGATTCTGATTTAAAGGTGCTATCCCAAAACGAGAGGGCCATTTATGAAGTCCAATTATAATTTTTTAACATATTTTCATTAATAACAAATTTATAAAAAAATGTTTCAAATTTAAAACGCATTGAACTTTTTTCCTTTTTTTAATGTGGATAATAGTAAATAATAATAAGTATGTATGTTGTACTAATCGTATTCTTAAAAATCATAGTTATGGGTGATTCTACAAAAGTTGAGCAACTTTTGACCTCATTTTGGTTATATAGTTTTCTGAAAAAATTAAACAGTATTTTTTTATGAGAAAATAGATAATATAATAAATTTACTGTTCCAGACCGGGCCAGTCACTTTTTCAAACAGTTTCTGAAATATCTGTGTTTTCTAAATTTGAATGCAAGGGAAGTGACGAGTATACCAGGGTACTAATTAAATAAATAATTTATTGGAAAATATAAGATTTATTGCAACTTTGAGCATATTATACATTAAATATCTTACAATCCAATAATACCACACATCAGTGGCGGCTGGTAGATTTTGGGTATACCGATATCTCAATTATTAGATATAGGACCCACACCAAATTTATATGAGTTTATAATTACATTAAATAAACAAGTTAAATTGAAGTTTGCGAAAAAAAGATAACCGAAACATCGAACATGGAACTGACGACACGGTACTGATGAATGGGATACAAATTTGAGATTATAATTAAGAATTAAGTATTTTACTGAATCTTTTTATTAGTGGATGCCACTTATCAACAAATCACATATAGCCTTATATAAATTATAATGAAATATATATACGTAAGAAAATAACTAATCACCACAGTACTGAAATTTTGACTGGAACTATACGTGCATTCACCATAACTTCGCCGCTTGCATTGTTTTCAAGATGACTGTCGTGCAAAGGGCGGGCTCCGTAGGTAATTTTTTACCAACACTTGAGTTAAAACGAGGACTTGACGTTTAAACTTCAATATTTCGTAGGAATTTTGAATTATAACACAGAACTGACGGGTAAAAGTGAGTACAAAGATTATCAGTTTTTTAAAAATTTCTATTATTCGAATCTATGATAAAATATAAAAAATACATTATTTAATGTTTTATGGTTTGTAGTGAAATTGAAAAATTTAATATAAATTGAATATATTTTAAAATAAAATCACTCAAATATTTGATTCAGGAGTTGTGACACGCCAAGGTACTGATGTTTTGAATATTTATTATGTTTTTCTACAAACGTGCTTTTGAAAAAATACATTAAAATTGGGTGGACTGTCCACCGTGGACAAGTTAAAAAAATCTGGATCTTTTGTAATATACTAAATTATTTACAAAAAATATTAAAATACCTACTCTATTGATTGATGGCATCAAGTTGTCCAACTTTGTAGAACCACCATTATCCACATTTTAATTAATTTTTAACCAAATTAGTCAAAACTAATTTATTTTTAAAAGACATTTATTATTAATACTAAAAAGATCGGAAAATTCTAAAAATAATTTTATAGTTCACTTATGAACCAGTTATTAATTAAAAAAAAATACTTACCAAATAACAAAGTAAATAATAACTAATACTATCAGATAAATGGAATATAGACACAAACTTTTGTATGGATATCTTTATTTAATTGTATAAAAATATATTTATTTATATAACATCACATTTTTAGACTAGTTTACTGACTAGAAAAATTTGTACAATATAAAATGTATATAACACTACAAAATGCTTTTTATCAATATTGATCAAAACACAAATATTGCAAAGGCATGCTTAAGACACTTTTTTGACTAGATCACCCCCTATAGCTATTATAATTATACAATAAGTTATTATTATAATTGTAATAATTAGTGGTAACATTTCCATAATCGTTGGGCATATAGTTGTGGGTGACTTCTTGAGGAAACTCATATTGACTTTGGTTATCACTGCTGGGGCTAGACATATCCGACGCCATATTATAATCCGCCATGAAACTAGCGTTTGTAATACTACCACTCGTAACAATAGCATTTGACATATTTTGGTCAAAATTTCTTGATTGTATACTATTGCCGTATTTATTAATTGAAACTACCACATTACCAACGTTAACGACAACGCTATCACTGTTTGGGTTGGAAAACTTTTCGATGTCATTCACCGCTTGGGATAACGCATGAATGTAGTTGTGAGCAAACCTTAAGGTCTCGATTTTGGTAAGCTTGGTATCTTCGGGGAAAGCGGGTAGGACACATCTTAGTTTGTCCAAAGCTTCATTTAACATGTGCATTCTATTTCTTTCCCTGTCGTTAGCTTTCAATCTTCTGACTCTTTTTATTTTTATCACTTGCGTTGGGCTTTTCGCCCTTGTCACTCTGTTTCTACCAGTTGCATACTTCTTCTTCGTTTTAACTTCCTTAGAATCGTTTTTTGTTGGAGTTGACGTTTTCGACGGATCATTTTGCAAAGGGTAATAAAATTCCATTTCATCGGTTCCTCCAAACAAATTCCTCCTGCATGATTCTCCGCTTTCGAATCCTCTGTATACGTCAATAGGTTGTATTCTTCTATCGAGCTCCACCAAACTGCTATGGAAGGCCGTGTTAAACTTTTCGTACAGCTCCTGGTTCATGTTTGGGTCTTCTATCTTGATTTTCTTATGGGGTGATTCGTAGTCCATGTCGTATAAATCGCTTCTATCATCTGTGTATTCGGTTGATTCTGATTTAAAGGATAATTCAAAACCTGAGTCGCAGCTGTCCTCGTAAGAGTGGTCCATTTTTCGAAATTTTTCATAAAGAGACACCTGCAAAAAATTAAAACGGAGTTTAAAAAATCTATGCTACATTTGATGTAAAATAACAATCAGAAAAGTATTTCCATTTTTACACGGTTTTAATTATTTAAATAAATAATATTTAGGAATGAATGCTGTGTTTTTTAAAATGTATTTAATTATTTTTATTATATTATGGTTTTTAATTGATTAGTTAAAAAAATAAAATTGAATAAGAGTGTTTACATTTATTTGGGGAATAAAAACATTATTACTTAAAATAATCCATTATTAATTAATTGAAAACATAAAAAACAAATTAATATTTTTTTTCATTTAAAAATAATGTATTATTTTTATTTTAAATTACTAAACATAAATTAAGAAAAAATATTATAAAAATATATAAAAGAAATAACTATTCAATTGAAAAAAAAAAACAAAACTATTTTTGTTGCTTATTATTATAGTATTCAAAATTTGAAAATACTCGTTAGTATTAAACGCTTAAAAAATAAAACAGAAACAGAAAACTACAATTTTGATTTATTATGATTTTTATAACAATTTGCATATTTCAGAATTGTTTTAATATACTATCTATCGATAAAAGATTAAACATTAAAGTAAAGATATAAAATTATATATTTTTTATAACATACCATTTTTTTATGTTAATCCAAAAACGATTTTGAAAAATCTCGTCCCACCACGAGCATAAAATTAAACCACCGTCCGATGTATTCGTTTATTTAAGCCGGACTAAATTTTATAAACGGGGTGGTTGATTTTATATGTATGTGCCTCCCACCACCGTTTAGGGTTTAAAGGGACGCCAATCATTTACAGCTTTCGCCAAATAGCCCGCTCTACATTGGCTCGACTATACGAACCCTTAACGCTTTTAAATAATAGTCGGACAGTTCACTGTATTCACAAATAGACCATTGTTCTTAAGATTGAGTGTTAAAAAATAAAAAAAAATATAGGGGCTGGTAAGTAAACATTGAATAAAATAATATTAAGTTTGTAAAGCTTTCTATTTTAAGTGTTTATGGTGCTGTAAGTATTTTAGGAAATGGAAATATAAGAAATTAACAGAAATATTGTAAATATGTAATACAATTAAAATAACGTAAAAAACAAATTAAAAAAAAATTTGTATAAAAATATTTAAGAGAGATATTTCAATGTAATTTAAGTTTTTAGTTAATTAATATTATTATTAATGTTTTAATTAATTTATTAAAATTTAATACAGTAAATTTTAAAATTGCCATTAGAATTTTAGAACCCAGTAATAAAAAATCCTTATATTTATCGTATCTATACATTTGCCTCGATGAAAATTGTTTTTATTTGAAGTTATTAAGTTAATGTAATGGATATTTATGTTATTAGGCTGAGAAGTGAGTCTTTTTGTGAAATTGAGGGAAGCACAAAAAGAAATTTCTCAGCCGCATGCATACAACATTTTATCTTTAAGGCATAATTTTATTTGTTAATTAATAAATAAAACGTACAGTTATTATAATTATTATTAAAAGAAAAAAGTGAGGTTAAATACATCTAGAAGAATATAATAGTTATTTATGTCATTAGGTTAAGAAGTAAGGCTTTTTGTGCTAAGCTCAAGGTTTGAAGGCCTACAATTGAGCGAAGCACAAAAAGGCACTTCTTGGCCGAATGGCATACAACATTTTATCTTCAAAGCACTTTATATAGGTCAATTTAATTCAACATCAAAGCGGCCTAACCTCACTTTTTTAGAATCTCATTTATTTATTAGGTAAAGATTACATTAAATGTACAATAATTATTATTGCTTTTAGAAGCAGTAATAGTTTGACAATACCTAGCAACATGATTTAAGTAGAAATGGATTTTTGCTATTACATTGAATTCAATTAATTGTTTAATAAATAGGTAGGTATCTAATTTAATTTGTTTGGATTTTTATTAAAAAAATAGGTAGTTTGGAATGTTTAAGCTGTGTTTCATTTAATTTCACTGAAAACTTAAAGCAAATTAAAACTTAAAGATAATTTAAATCGTAGAAAAAGAATCGTTCGTTTTCTTGGTTGCATAACCTCACTTTTTGTTTTATTATTCATATTTAATTTTACAATAATTTAATGAAAAATATTAAACATTAACAGTAAAACAAACAAATAAGTGCTTATTATAAATAAATTAAACCAGTTTAGTACGTTAATTTCTTAGAAAAGGATTAATTTGTCAAAACAATACCCCTAGCGAGAAAAAATCGAACTAATTACTTGCCTCATAAAATTTTTTATCGGCCTAGGCCATAACAAGGTATTTCTTTATCGAATGTTGACAACAATAAAGTTTAAATTATAGACCGCGTGGAGATAAAATATATTTTAGTCCACTTTAAAGAATACCTTTTTGCTTTTGAACTAATAAAGTGATTAAAGTGAAATTTTGACTCGTCAAAGAAGATTACATGCACTTAAAGTATGGTATACTAGCTGAATACCCAAGGGTTCGTTTCCGTGGTTAAAAAAAGGGTTCATCTATACAAATATATAAAATTGAAGTGTTTAATGGTCCTGTTTTAGTCCTGTTTCCGTTTCTATCCCGTTCCGTTCCTATTCTGTTCCCGTTCCGTTCCCGTTCTGTTCAGTTCCCGTTCCATTCCCATTTTTATTTGTAATTAGTAAAGGGTAAAAACTAAATAAATAAAAAAAGTCGAAGAAAAATAAAAAATGCGAAGAAAAAAAACAAAAAGGTAAACTTAACAATACGCTTATAATTTTGCAAAAAATTAAACAGTCATATAAAAACTACCCTGTATTTTAAATATGTAGGAAAAAAAATATAACATAATAAGAATATATTAGAAAAATTGTTATACATAATAATAACCATTTTTTCCATTAAAATAAATAAAGTAATTGGTAATTTTTTGTACATACCTTAACCTACCTATATTACAAAAAATTTGTATATTATTATACGAGAGATAATTCACGAGGATGAGGTTTGCGTCTCGAGTCGCCAGACAAGAGACTTAAATCCTCCGTGTGAATAATGCGCATAATCTCGAGTGTAATTCTATACTTTTACTTTTACTTTTACTCCAATAAATAGATAATTAAATTATTTGTCAAATGGTTAACCTCGCCAATTTTAAATGTTATTATAGTCGCTTTCTCCCAATTTAAAACCCGATTGGTTCAAATAACAGTGAATATTTAAATTGGCCAATCACTGATGCCTAACAACGTAAATAATGAGTTCATTATTCCCGTTGTAAGGCATGGAATTTATAGTGTTTATAATTTTTTACATAAAAATCAACGTTATGCAATAGGAGTAGATAATAGTATATTCTGTAACAAGTTTGGAATACGGTATATTCCGGTCGAGTGAAAAGTTTGTCACCCGAGCCGAAGGCGAGTTTGACGTTTTCACGAGAGAGAAATATGCAATTCCAAACGTGTTTCTATAGATGCTAAATACAACTTTTATTAATATAAATGGATATTGATTTCTATTTTAGGTATATCATTTAGATTTTTAATATTTGATGACTTTGACTTTGATGATGTAGTGTTTAAATATTTTACATTTCATATGTTCATGAAAAAATTTAATTATAAAAATTAGTTTAAGTTTCTACAAAACGTACATTTTTTTAATTATTATTTAATTAAATTAAAAGGTAAGGTATAGGTATATTCCTTATTTCCACTGGTTTATATTTGTTAGATTTTTTTTTTTTTTTTAGTAAATATGTTTTAGTAAATTATGTTTACCTAGTGCAAAAACATAATAGAACTAATGAGAGCTACTTTTAAAAGTGATTTAATTATGAAAGTCAAAAAGCTTTTTATATAATTTTTTTCAATTATCAATTACGGTAATAATATAAAAGAAAAAAATATTTTAAATAAAAGTTGATCTAAATTTTTTTGCAAATTCAAACTCAACATACTATTTATTATCGATATTATAAAAAGCAATGAATTTTTAAACAATAGATTTTTCACTTACCCGAATAGGGTATGTGATAACGAGGCATAAAATAAGTAATAAATATAAATCGACAGCGCAAAAAAGGGTTGCGGATTCAATACAAATATTTGAAAGAAATTCGTCACAGATTGGAAATTCAATGTTTTGAAAAAATTGAGAAAATATAACCTATTTTGTAAGCCACATATGCCTGGAAAATTTAACGTATTTTTAACACTTTTATTAGATGTAAAAAATTTCATTATTTTAGGGTTAACACATTTAGGTATATATAAATAAGTAAAATAACGGCAATTATGTATACCTACACGATTTCTAGCTTTTGTTATTTTTATTTTAAACTTTTAGACCTAAAATATATCTTATTTTTTTATATTATTTTTATAGTATATTCTGTAAAAAGTATGGAATACGGAATATGCTATTGGAAAAATAATTTAATTGGAAGAAAGTGAGGTTGAATCGGTCTAAAAGTTGTTGGATAATAAACACAGTTGAGAGAATAATTAATTCTGTAACAGTTTAAGAAATATATGTAATTCCACATTAAAAAGTGATGTTAGAACAGTCTTATTCTATAATAGGAGTAGAAAAAGTTATGTTTATGATATCCAATAAAGCAGGTAGAGTTTTATAATTCTAGAATATTAATATACATTTTAAAATTATGTTTTTTGACTAATAGTATTTTTTGCTTGATTATTATTTTATTCGCAGTTTTTTAATAGTTTAGCATTATAGCTATTTAATATTCTACTTAAGTTACATTTTATTTGGAAGTTTGATAATGTATTTAACTTGTATTTCCTAAACAAGGTTTAATCAAAAAAGCTTTAATTGTGCTTTTAAACATTTTATTTGATTATTTTTTAATGAAATATTTAATTAGCTTAATTTATTGAGTAGTTTTAAATTATTAAAATTTAATTTTATATAACAGTTATACTCTAAAGAGAAAAAATAAAATCTGAAAATATATGCAAAAAAATTTATTAAAA